ATATAGAAGATTAATAAGATTCTTCCTAACTATATTAAATGCCCCCAATGTTACTTACAGTAATGTAACATTTTCACAAGACCAGGAAATTTGAATTCTGTCATCTTAGCAGGTATTGTGGCATACCTGGGCTGTTGCCACACCCGAATAGGTAAAATCCTCTGATGAAACTCTTGTTCCTCAAAAGGAGATAAGAGAGAAACTTTACTGTAATGACAAAGAAGTTTAGGGTGTGGCAAAGCTGGCCCAGAAAGTAAGTTTAACCTGTTAAGTACAAGAGTCAGGAATACATGCACAGAACAGTTCCCAAAGCTCTACCCGTGGACTTCTAGGGAGGGCTCCTGCCGGTCCTCAATAGGGGATCCAGATGTGACGGTCAGCCAGGGCATGGGGTCCCGGCACTGCCTCTCAGGACCTGGATGTAGACGTTTTTGAAAGTTTCTTTGAGATTTGGACAGTAAACAAGGACACAGACACCAAGAAGAGCTTGCTTTTAGGACTTTCTTCAAGATTGCCTGCCCTGCTCCCTCTAGAGTACACTTTCATCTTTTCCTCTTTTACTCAGTCCAAGCTCACTCTGCAAAGTCAGTTTCTCTCTTTTCACTTTTACTTTTTTAAATAAATTTTTCTCACTGCTTTTTGCTCATCTCTTTCAATTCTTTGTTTGAGACGAGACGAACATGGACTCTAACTCTGGAAGGAGAGGCAAGCAACCCAAAACCCTTTAACATTTAACTGGAAAGGCACTTTTGGAAGGAGCTACTGACAACAGTAATGTAATTAATGCAAATTAATCCATATAAAGAAACAGATCAAATTTATTAATCCCATCCCAGGCAGAATGGTGCAAATTTATAACTTGCTGTTATTTCTATTCCCACAATGTATCTGATTAGCTGACTTCATTGAAGGCATCAAGAAAATCTTGGATTAGCAATTTAAAGAAAAAAAAATAGTTAAGGACCTTCCAGCTGCTCTTACTGAAGTTTTTTTCCCTTTTTTTGGACAGACACACACCAAAAAAAAAAAAAATTAAATTTCCTTCTGCTTATTCAATTACAGATTCATGGTGCATCCTTTCAACCTCATTTCCACATCTTAATGTCATCACTATCATCATTGATCAGTATTTAACTTGATACCCTGAATATACTAGGCAAACAACAAAATAACACACAAAAGTATTATAGTATATAGAATATATAGTTTGATTTTAGTGACATACAAATATCCTCTAAATAACAAGCAGGAATATTCATTAAAACTAATATTTATGTAGGAGACAATAAAATTATAAGTAATTCTCTCTTTGGTTTATTCATGACTTTGTCTGATGTCTCCACTTTTTTTGGGGGGGGGTTGACACAGGGCCTAACTATGTAGTTGAGACTGACCTGGAACTCACTATGTAGCCCAGGCTGGTCTCGAACTCACAGAGATCATCCTGTCTCAGCCTCCAGAGTGCTGGGATTCAAGGCGTATGCCACCACGCCCAGCTCTAATGTCTCCATTTTTAAAGCATAAAATTCTTTTTAAAAATTCTAACTTTGTAGTCATTATTAGGAGAAAATTTAGAATTAAAAATCTCCCCAAAGGAGGGTGGAAATCTAGCTCAGTTGTAGAACACTTACTTGACTAGCATATGTGACGCCCTAGGTTCAATCTCCAGTACTGCAAAGCAAAAATTTATATATAATATATTTGAATATATATATATATCCCAAAAGGAGAGAAAGACATGCTGACATTTATTTTATAAGTACATACGAGAAACCAAAATACACCAGTTTCACAGGTAAGTGAAAGTCAGTATTTAAATCAAAATGACAAATTCTCATCAATTCTGAAAGTAATTTGAAGACCACATCAAAGTCATTCTTATTTGGGATCCGGAATTACCTCCAGAACTGATGCAATTTAAAACCAGTGCCTGTAAGTGTTTACTGAAATCTTTGTCCCTAAGGGAGAGGCTTCAGAAGCGACACTGTTGGAACCGCCTCAAGACCTGAGCTAAAGTAGCAGGGAGGAGTACAGACATTAAATTTATTTTGAAATACTGTTTTCCTTTTCAGCAAAAATAAAACCTAAATACTTTCTATGCAATTTGTGATCAAGCCCTCTTCTCCTAGAGTTTCATTTCTCATGCACTTACTCCTCTTTCCTGGGAACCACAGCATAAACAGGAAGACCTGTGTCTGGGGCTCGTCGACTTTCTCAAGAAGGCGGGACCATTTAATTACTGTGCTGCCACCCTCGTCTTCTCCAGAAGGCTAATAAACATTGTGACTGCATGAGCTGCTCAACACCCGTAGGAATATGAACAATTCCTTGCCGTGTTTGATGGGAAGTCATCTTCAGAGCCCTGAATCAGACTTTTATCAAACTCTAGACAGAGACTTCCCCTTCGAGCAAAGATCATCCTTTATCGGAGTGGTGTTCGACAGTGTGGTTTTCAGCGCTCAAACAAAAAAGCCAGAGGTTGGGAAGGCCTTGGGTTGGCTTATCCCTCGGCCTAGGTTTGGGGTCCTCCTGCCCCTCCTGGCCCCCTGCCAAGGCTGGCTGCTTCCCGTCTTCCTGGCAACATCTCCAGGCCCCCTGCCCACAGAATGCCTCTCCCCTTGCCCCGGATCTAAAGCGGCTGCCCTGTGCTGTTTCCTTCGCAGCGGACCCGGTGAGGTGCAAGGCTGCCTTGGCGTGTTTGCAGGTGTCCGCCAGTAGAATGTAACAAAACGAGGGCCGGCTCTCTGCGCCTCAGCAGTGAGCACACCTCCGCCACCTGCCAGGGGCTCCTCTGGGGCTTTTCGTCCGAAAACAGAAAGTGCGCCTCGTTCGAATTTTTTCACTCTCGCGCCACCGGTTCTCTCCTCAGCCTGGCCAAGTCCGCGACCCTCAGGCTTCCGACCTCAACTCCGACCCCACACAGTCACCAGAGGGACGCCACTCCCCTCAGTTCCTCCGCCCGCGGGAAGCGCCTCGCTCTAATTGCCTTTCTCTCACTCGCACCTTTTTTTCCAGACCCACCTGCCGGCCGCCACCCCAACACCCCCAGCCTACCGCGCCTCCTGGAAGCCCAAACCCGTTTCCGGGGGCGTGGCGTGGGAGTGCCTTCCTCGATACGGGGCTCCTATTGGTCGGGTGTCGAGGGCGGGCCCGGGAGGGGGCGGGGCTGCAGCCTGGTTCTCCGACCGCCGGTCAGTCCGCGCATTCCCGGGTTTTCTGCTTCAGCGACCGCGGTAGAAGAGGAGGACTCCGGCTCGCGCAGCATGTCTGAGAAGCGGAACACAGATGACGCCCGGCGGCTGCCCGACTCCCTCAAGGGTGAGCCTCGAGCCCCTGGCGAGGCCCCAGCGTGGCCTGCAGTTCTTAACCCGCTTCTGGAGACCGCGGTTTGACAACCAGGTGTCTCCGCTGCTTTGAGCTGCCAGGGCGCTCCCCAGAGCCATGGTCCTTCTTCCTCAAACCCCGTTTCGCAGGCTGGGGGTCACGACATCGGGCGGTGGGGTGCAGAGGGCACTGCCTGGCAGGGCACGCGGTGGACGCGCCCGTGGCAGGGGCCGTGCTCAGTGTTCAGAACGGTGCCGGGACTCGCGTTATCCCTTGTGGCCAGACGCCCCGCCGGCCGGGTGCCAGAGCTTCCTTATCTCGTGGCATCCACTAGGGCGAGGAAGCGCAGAAGTAACTGGCAGCCAGTGAGTGGTGCAGGCGGAGTCCGGCGTCTTCTGCCCTCGCCCGCTCCTCCCCATCCCCAGGTCGCCTGCTCTGTCCAAACTGAGCCACCCCCAGAGTGAAGGCCCATCCTTGGACCTGGAAAGAATCCCTACCTCCCTCCCACCATCTCTGCAGCTTGGGAACCTGTCCCAAGGCCCCAGGAAGGCATTCCTCCCCTCTTTCTGCCCATTCTTCCTCCTCTTCTGATGTGTCTTAGGGAGCCCTTCTTCAGTCAGGGCTTTTGTCCCTTAGGAGGACCTCTGGGTTCCCCTACCATCACCACCCCACTAGGCCTTCTCAGTCTTGAGCCACTGTGAGTGACTCAATCTTGTTCCCCTGTGAAGAAAGCTAGCATCCTTGAGAGAGTACCACCTTGAGGTTTTATTGGCCAACTCCTTGGGGTGGGGGAAGAGAGGTGATCAGCCTCTCCGGAGTATTGCTATCCTCTCGGGAGCTCTTAGTGATCCAAAGGAATTATTTCTAAAGATGGTATTTCAGACAGAATGATGCAGGAGAGGAAATTTAGGGTGCTGCTAGGCTTTTCCAGAAGCCTCAAAAAGCACTTAGCCGGAGTCGTTTATTCTGATTATTTGTATGGCCCTCCTTGGGGTCCCTGTCCTTAATTCCTTCCCAGGAGCTCAAAACCGTTAGAAACGTGTGGGGATGTAATTTAGTGGTGGTTGAGTGTGTGCTTGCCTAGTATGTGTGTGGCCCTGAGTGGGATCAATCCCCAACAATGCAAAAAAATTATATATGGAGTACACCAGCAAGACAGTAACAAAAAATGAACACTAAATAGGCCAGGCTTGATGCCAAATATTTTATAGACATTTTATTAAATCTTCACAACAGATGTGACAGGTACTGCTCCCATCCCCAGCATTACACTCGAAGACACTGATACTCGATGAGGTTAAATTGCTTAAAGTCACATAGGTATGCTACTGGTGCCATATTTTAAATCTGACTTTGATAACAAAAGTTGAACAGGAAAAAGTTGTGATCATTACTTATAGTTGTCTTTTCCTAGATCTCAAAAAAAAAAAAAAAAGGTAAAGTGGTAAAGTTTCTTTCCTCTGTACCCTGACCTCTTACTAGGACACTGCTCTGTGAAATCAGTCTGAAGTTCTTTGGGAATAAACATGATCTTTGTTCTTAAATGTTTGTTTTCATCACAGACTAATTTTTTAACTTCTGAATTCTTTTTTTGTGGTTCTACACTTAATCTGTTTTTTAAAGGTAGAAATCTGTTAAGAAACTAGTGAAAATGAATACACCCTCTCCTCTAAAATTATAGACTTAGTCTGTGTTACTCTGTGTGTCTGTGTGTGCATGCGTGTGTTGTGGTAAACCTTAGAGGAAATAGGAAAGCCATTACTAGAATATATTAAATAGACTTTCTGGAATGTTTGTTATACACCCAACCCAGCCTAAGTGCTTTACAAGCATTATCTCTTGAATGCTGTCGTATGTCAGATACAGCATTAAGTGCTTTACATTTATCTAATTGGCGTTAAGTGCTTTATATTTATCTAATTGCAGGATGGCAACAAGTCCACAAGAAAAATGTCATTATTTCCATTTTACAATAAGGAAACTGAAGGTCAGTGTAATAAAAATCAGAGACAGCTTATAAGATTCAGAGCCAGGGTTCAAACCCAGGCTCTCTGATTTTCCAGACCTTTTTCTCTATCTTAGAGCCTACCAATTTTCAATTCTTTACTGAAGGCAAATAAGCAAAGAAAGGCCAACAGAACCCTGCATCAGTCAAGACCTCTTGGATATGGCAGCCACAAGACACAGGGTGTCTGAGGTTACAGTGGAATTACAGAAGCCTACACTCTATATCTTTATTAAGAATTAGTCCTAGACAGGTGAACATAATCAAACCTAGGACATGACTAATTTTTCCTAAAGCTGGTACAGTCACTTGTAATGAAATAATGCAGGTAGATTGCAAAGAAATGTATCATTATAATTAAGAGCCATGTCAACAGGATAAATCCCTTTGGGAGAATCTCAGAAAATAAGCAGGATCATGGGACTGATTTGTTTATTTCAGTTGTTGTAAGCCAATCAAATTGGGGAGCACTTTGTAACTTCTTCAATAATTAATATGAGTCTGACCATTATTGGTCATATATTAACTGAAACCAGAAACCAAGACTACAAAAGCTGACATTTGTGTATTTTTTTTATGATTAAGTAGATTTTGGGTGAAGGTTGATAAATTTTATACTATAAAAGATCGTCACTTTTGAAGAAAAAAAATTTAAAGACATTGATGAACTGATATAGACAGGATTCAAAAATCTGTTTTTAAAGAAGGCATACAGCTGGATGCTATGGCACATGCCTGGGATCCTAGTTACTCAGGAAGCTGAGGCAGAAGGATCACAAGTTCAAGGCCAGTCCAGGCAACTTAGTGAAACCTTGTTTTTATTTTATTTATTTATTTGGGTTTTTTTGAGACAGAGTCTCACTATGTAGTTGAGACTGACCTGGAACTCACTATGTATCCCAGGCTGGTCTCAAACTCACAGCAATCCTCCTGCCTCAGCCTTCTGAGTGCTGGGATTACAGGCGTGCGCCACCACTCCCGGCTGAAACCCTGTTTTTAAATTAAATATTTTAAAAAGCGCTGGGGGTAGTTCCGTGGTAGAGCACTTGGCTAGCATGTGTGAGATCCCGGGTTCAATCCCCTAGCACTGTTAAAAAAGGAGGAACAGCATGGAGAGGGGGAGGGGAGATAAGAGAAAGAACAGGAAAGGAAGAGCAATTTTCTGAAAATTAAAACTGAACACCTCTCTCACGTTGGCCTAGCATCCTGTGCATGCCTCTGCCATAATGTTTATTAGCAGTACTATAATTATCAGTTTGATTTATCCATTACCCTTTTGGACAAGGAGAGCTTCTGAAAACAAAGATTATGTCTTCCTCGTTGTTCTAGCTCAATATCAAGTACATAGTAGGTGTGCAAAACATTTCTTGAAAGAAAAAGGAAGTGGAAAGGGAACAGATCACATTGTAAAACGTTAAATATCTGTTGGCAGCTTTATTCATTGTTTTCGTAACTCGAACTGCTGATTTTAAAACATGACAATCACATTCCTCATTACATAATTACTACAGGTAGACTGTTTATCTGGGTTTACATTATCAAGGAAGGGATTATAATTGCAAGATAATATATTGTACCTAATGAGAAACTTCATTTATGAAAGTAAGGAGAGAAGTGAGAGATCCCAACAGTAGAAAGAAGGCATTGTGCCTTCATTTTCTACTGATGCATGCGTTCCTCCGTTTTTTACCCTATATCTTTGCGCTCTGGAATTGATAAAGAGACTTGAACACCAAGCCTTTGCCTTGACGCTTCATTTGATTAGCCCTGAAGATAAGACCAAGAAAATATCCTCCTTAAAACACTCAGCGATAAAGAAGATGCCACACTCGTCCACTGGAGTGACCTGACCACCTGTGGGAAGAGAGTGTGGTGTAGAGAAACAAGGCAGAGTTCAGAAGGACGGGCTCTGGCTTGAGATCTCAGGACCGTCACTTCACACCCGGGTCACCTTGGGAGAGTCTCCGTGTCCCCAGTCACTCCCCGGCTGTACACGGGGCGTAATCTCCTGCCCTGTGCGCTCCCAGCGTTTTAAGTATTAACTGTGAAAATCTACACGAACTTCCTCTGGAAACTTTAAAATGAAAAGTGTTGAGACGTTGAATGGAGAAAACGAAGAAGATGAAGAAGAAGAAGAAGAAGGTTAACAATGTCTAGGACTTTCAAACCAGAAAGCTATTGTTAGAGTACTACTCAGAAAGCCTAGCCATTTTCCAGTAAATTGAAATTTACAGGCGAATATGACAGATTTGTATGACAGATGACCTAACAACATTTAGAAGTGCAGTCCACCCTCCCCACCCACTCCCGCCTCCCAACACTCGAAATCTGATCTGTTTCTCCTCCAGAGAGGGAGTCCCTAGACAGATTGTTAGTCTTAGTATTTTCTCCATGGTGCTTAGGTCCCAGAAGGCAATTCACGTACTAAAAAGTTTATTCCTATGAACTGCATCAATAATGATCTTACAGTTGTCATAATAATAATAACTACTACTTATTAAATACTGCGTTGAGCATAAAAACACCAAAACATAGGATTTTGTTCTATTTTCATGTTTTTCTGGCCTAATCAGACTTCAGTGAACTTAATATCCGTGATGAAATTGATTTTCTCCCCAGTTTTTCCAACAGAAGTGTTTCTATATTTCCAGACATGGGCCATGTTCAGCCCAGTCTCCTCATTTCCTGAATTCTCTAACCTCACAGTTAGGAAAGGGCCAGAGAAAGCCTGCCCGAGCCTCAGAGGTCCAAACATTAAATTGTTCTGACCTCTTTTTTTCCCCTCCTCTTTTGTGCCTGAAATATTTAAATGAAGAAGAGCTGCAGAAAATCTTCAGGAAATATTAGGAAATAAAACATTTTTGCATGTTTTAGTCTCGTGACTTTTGAGCCAAGCCAAGGATTCCCTTTACTTCAACTTTTATTGAAAATCTTTAAAAGGATTAGTCCATTCCCTTTCCTTAATATTTCATGGCAGGCACATTTGAGG